ATTTCAGCATTTTTAATTGGTAATTATGTACAGACTTTAAAGATGTGTGGATCACGAATTTAGGCCCATTCACAGGAGAAACAAATGCTTCACCTTCTGGTTGGGGAATCAGGCAGAATAGCTTTCACAAGAACAGCTGTGGAGGCCTCCAGTACAGTCCAGAGCTTCCTCCTCTTCTAAACTGGGACACTGAGGCTTGTCAGCTTTCAGGCAGCAGAGGGAACTGCGGTCTCTTCCCAAGCCCAGACTCCATTGTAAAAGAGGCTCATAGGCCACAGACATGAACCTTGCTTTTGGTTTTGCCAGAGGAGGTTGGGCCCCTACTTCCAGGAGAGGTTCAGAGCTGTGTGCTGCATACAGAGCCAGTTATCTCCTGTAGCATGCGGTTCATCTTACAAAGAACATGCAGTCAATGTGCCGGACCCCATCCCAGGGCACTTAATGTTCCTGTGGCTTATATGGGGGATCCAGCTACTTAAAGACCAATTCTGAGCACCTCTACCTCTTTGTATGATTCAGGTCTACAGAAACAGTATGGATTTGGTGAATTTTAATTCCTCAGACATCCCTTCAAGTTCTCTGTAACCGAGTACAAGAAATTTTAGAGAGCTGAGGCTATTCAGTGAACTAAAAAAAAAAAAAAAAAGTATTAACAAATTAAGGAAAGATACTATTAATCAATATTGCTGTAGAAATAGGGACCACAGTCTGCTTCACAAAAATCTGCAGGTCAGAAGAATTAAGACCTGCAGGTACAGGTTTCTTGCTTCATTACATCACCAGATTTGGAACCCTTTCTTTCTTATTTTTTGTGCTTTGTCTATGTTCTACTTTTTTTTTTTTTCTGAGAAACTTATTGCCTTTACCATCCTCCTTACACCAATTTAGAATAAGTTAGAACAACAAATGCAAGGAAATATAGCAAAAGCTGCTTAATCACAGCCTCCACAACAAAAGATGAAGTAGACATTGCCACTGAAAACAGTGGTGGAAGAATTGTCCAGAAGTCACCTCAGGGATCTGAACAAGACTGTGTAGATAGTACTAGCAGCAAGGAAAAAAAAAAAATACAAAAAAGCACTAATGAATAAGCAGCTTCCAGCTTTTATAAGCAACTTCAACTTTTATTTTTGAAGAGAGAGAAAACAGTAGAAGCAATAGTACTCCATTTTTTATATTAACCTCCTGTTGTACTAAGTTTCTGAACTATTTGATAACCTTGTGGAATTTTATTTAATAGGTTTAGATTACTTTTATATTATTTTTTTTTCTCAGAAAGCCCATAGAGGACTGGCTTAAGACAGGAAAGGTATTGGATACTTGTGTGACTGTGCACAGGCCTTTTAAATTCATATAGCAAAGGAGGGAAGGGACCCCAAGCACCTCTTCTGGTGAAATCAGAAGACTGTCACCCTGGGAAACAGATCCTATCTCTGCTTACCACAGCGGATCTGTGAAGCCACTTAAACCAAACTTTTGACAGGTGTCCAGACAGCCCAAGTTCCTTATTTTTGGAGTTCCCAAACTGAGAAGTAAGAGATGATTTGGAGAAGTAGCAAGAAATGCAGCTGAGAATGACTGAAGCTTTGAACATATCAAGAGATATATAAATCTAGACACACTAAGAAGTCTGCATCCAAGTATCGGGAAGCAATGCACTCCAAGCTGGAAGAGAGCTGATAACTTTGCTTTGGTCTGCCTATGTTCTGGCTGTTTCTAAGTGACCACTGCAGAGTCTCAACAGAAAAAGATACCGAAGTAAACTCATTTAAAAGCATTAAAAAGCAAAGCATTTTGTCTCCCAGGTAACTGCACTAGAGATTTCTACAGCATGAGTTAAATAAGGCCTAAAGCCACACAGTGAATACAGAAGGATAAAATATGCTATTTAATAAAAATATGTAATGTTTTCTTGATTTTTTCCTAACTGAAAGGAATATAGATACTACTGCACTTTTTAGAATCAAAATCAGTTACTGTGTAATAATGGGTATTCATACTCCTCTCCTGGGATACAAAAAAAATAATTTTTCATCTCTTTAGACATAACTGAATAAAGGATCAATACTGGCTCTTTTTTTTTTTTTTTTTTTTTGGAATATCCATTTATATTTATGGTCCAAAGCTCTTCAGCTTTGACATATCTTTCAGTTACCCATTTCTTGCTAATGGCAGAACTCGATCTCTCCCAAGACTGTACTGCTATGTATCACCCAACTCAAAGACACCTTCCTGATATGGGAAGTACATGCTGTGGCTTCTCCCCTGTTAATACAGAGCTGCCAATCACAACAATTCAGGTATGTACAGCCAAAAAATTCCACAGAAATTGTTTCCGGGTCAAAGTAGGAAATCATCGTTTGCAAATTAATTAGAAGGCAACACTATTAGAAAGTTATCTATTTAATACCTTCTCTAATTTGGCCTATCTCCTCAAAATTTAAACATTTTATTGAATCTCCAACAAACCCCGTGTTTCTAATGTGAGTGAGGTCAGAGTTATTCTTGGATTAACAATATTTTCCAATATTCAGAGGAACAGAATACTTAACTGTAAACACCACCGAGATAGTTAAGTCACAGCTACAACCGCCAAGTTATTCAAAATATCCTTGTGCAGTTTACAGTGCAAGTTTCTGATACCATGTCAGTGCAAGATTCTGGGCAATGCTCCAAAGAAAAGGAGAAATCAGCTGACTTCACGTTAATCATGTGAATAAAACACCCTATTCCTCTTGGAGGAGGTTCTATTTACTGTTGAAACACAGAGAGAGATATTTCCCAGTTATTCATATCAAACCTTTGGCACTGATAGTGCTCTACAATAGAAAGGTCATTTTTTGTTCTGGGGAGAGGATTGCCTGTAAGGTAATGGCAAGCGCACAGCAGCAAATGTTACAGTTTTGAACTATTTTATGCTATATGTTTCAGTCCACAATTAAATGAAATCTTAATATATTTCATAAATGGTCAAGGTTTTTCTGTGTACAAACCTGAAAACGAAATCACAATTCATAAAATCAGTGTAGCTATCTTTCAATTTTGTGATGTTGGAGCAGTATTTGAGGATTTACATCACACTTAGGGTGTTGCTAATCTTTCCAACATTCAAATAATTTGTAGTTAAATCAGAATGCTGATAAAAATGTTGAAAATAGGACAGTTTGTTCTGCAAAACCCTAGAAAACACTGGAAACTTATAATGAGGTTTTGCTTGAATGTATTTATTTTAAAACAAGCAAGACACTTTCTAATAATCCCAACATGAAGAAATTCTTGATTTGACCAATGATTCCTCTAGTATCAAGGATTCTTTCTAGCTCTTAATTTGCTCTAAGAGAAAATTATAACACATACAATACCTTGAATAATCACACAACATAATGCGGCATAACTTTTTAGAGAATGTTACTAAACCACTTGCACGGTATAGTGGCAAATCTTCTGTGGTATTATCTAATGGAGTTTATTAGGAAAACAGATAATCCCTACAGTGAATCAGTGGAGACAAGCACTGGAAAGAGGTAAAATTAAGGAAACATTTATCTGGTTTAAAATTAAAAAACAAAACAAACAAAACACAGGTTCTGTATCTTTTTTCGTTATATTATTTCATCTCTAATGAAATCAGTCAGCAGCACCAGAGTAGTAAATCAGATACCTAATGTGACAGTCTAATTGTCATCTCTCTCATAGAAGCAAGTACTGTTTTATCTGATAAGGCACACACTTACTTTTCTGGTGCCTTAGAACAAAAACACAATGGTTCAGACAATACAGCTACATTACAGAAGTACTAAATTTAAACCATCAGACTTGCTGGCAGAACTGTGCTGAGAGGTGAAAGAGCTGATAAAGTAGCTGAGATGATCTGGCTGTCAGGAAGATGTGAGACCTCCCTCCCCTGTTTAATGCTTCTGTCAAAGCAGTTCCGGGAGCTGCTTCTGAGTCAGAATCCAGTTCTATTTGAATTATTGTTAATACATTGCTCATAAACGGAAGTGCGTGTTGATACAGCAAATGAAGTAGAGGTCAGCTTCAGGTATGCACACAATTATTAAATAATTTGTATCTCATGATAGCTCTCAAAGAATGTATATGTTCTTTGGGAGCGAAATACTACTTAAATATTTTAATATTGTTGGCTATTGTGAGCCATCCCATCAAATTACAGATTACTCATTTTTTTAGTGCAAATCTGCTGTAGTTACCGACACACTATAAAATGTTTTAACACTACCAAGGCCAAAATATGACTGCCACAATATTAACAGTATTAGTCATAAAATACACCTTTTCCCCCCCTTCAAAATCCTACTAAAAACAGCTATCAGTTTTTCTGATGCATTAGGTATTGTCTTGCTCTAATAACAGGTCTTGCACAAAGCTACTTTCTAATTAATGCTTTTGATATGTTCACCTCTAACTTCTGTACTCAACAGGCACTTTGGTTTAGTTAGATGTTTTAGAAAAGACTAGGAAGTTATTTTGCCAGCTAATTTAATGCTCATAGCTAGCCAGATCTACAGACCACTGTCATTTATCACATCGTCCTTGATCCTTCAACTTCATTTGTAGCTGACTGGACTATTTCCCCCCATTATTGTGAAACCCTTACCCATATCCTGAAGCTCAGCTGTCTCATTTCACTTTCCTACTTCCTTAACTCTGCTGCATAATCCATCTGCAATTTAAATAAAAGCAGAAGAAATCTTTAACTGAAGGGCTGAGTTACCCACGTTACGCTAGTGGTACATTCGCAGTGTCAGAGTCATAGCGGCCTGTCCCCCAGAGCTGTATCACAGGAGGGGGACCGGGCGTGCTGCAGGCGGGGTTTGGCCCGGCACTGACAGGACAACTGACTGTTGGTATCAGCTCAAGTCCTCAGACGTGGCATGCGGGTTGTGTATCATCTTCGCACGTGCACCTTCACCCTTCTCTCTACTACTTTTTCCTTTTGGGGTTTATCTTCACCACAAGACCTCAGCCGCCCTAGCCAGGCGGGTGCCTCCGCGGCGCAGGCGGCCATCTTACAGCGCGGAGCCAAGGCCTCCGGCTCCTCACGCCCGCGGCGCGGCCCGCGGACGGAACCCGCCTGGCCTCGGCAAGGCGACGGACGAGCGCCCGGGCGGGACGGGGATGGGGTGGTAGCGACTCGGACTCAGGGGACGAGCCGGGGGTCCCCGCCGGGCCCGGCGCTAGCAGCGGCTCAACCAGCTCCGCCAACTCCCGCGCACGGTACCGCTGAGGAGCGGCCGCGTCCTGAGGGCGAGGGTCCCTCCGCCCCGCCCCGGCGAGGCAGGGCCGGCCTCGCCGCCGGCAGCCCGGCCCCTTTTCCCCGAAACACCTCCCGGCCCTCGCAACCGCCGCGCCTGGCAACCGCGCCGCGGGGCCGGGCCGGGCCGGGCGGAGGATGAAGCAGGTAGAGGCGCCGGCGGGAAGGGCGGGGGCGGCGGCGGGCGGCGCGGCTGCCCGCTCCCTGCCCGCTGACGGGGTCCTCGCCGCAGGCGCTGGTAGACGACACCGAGGATGTGTCCCTCGACTTCGGGAGCGAGGAGGAGCTGGCGCTGCGGAAAGCAAAGATCAGGTAACGGCGCGGGGAGCGGAGCGGGCCCGGCCCCGGCGCGGCGCCCGCCGGAGGTAACCGGGGCTGGGCAGCCCTTGCTGCTCCAGCTGGGCCTGACTCACGGAAAACACAATAAAAATCCATTTAAACACTTCATTCCTAATTTTTTACAGGGAGGGTTGCCAAGCGCTGGAACAGGCTGTTCGGGGCGGCTGGTGAGCCCCCGCCCGGGAGATGCCCGGCGCCGGGCTGGAGCAGCAAGGCCCGCGGCCCTGCCAGCCCCGCCGCTGCTGCAGCCCGGCTGCTCGGCAGGCTCAGCGTCACCCTGCCATTGGAAACGGGAATTTCACATACCCACAGCCAACATACCACAGATCCCACCCCCCCAAAAAAACCCCAAACCAAACCCAACCAAACAGTATTTTTGTTAGAGCTGGGGAAGCGGAGAGAGCTCCCATCTTTAGCAAAACAAGGTGTGCAGCAGAGTGCTCCCTCACTGCATTGCACACCTGGCTGAAGGGAAACAACAAGTTATTTGCAGTAAAACTGTCATCTTTTCCTACCACGGAATGCAATGTTTCATGGAATATAGTATATCTTATTCTTGTAGCTGTTACCCAGGAAAACCCAACCCATTGATCCATCTTATCTGTCAGGTTAAGCAGCCTACCATTATGTTACCAGAGGTGTCACTCTGCAGCTCTGTCCACACCGAGGTCCCAGGTGACAGAGCTGTTGCTCCATCAGTGGCTTTTGAAGAGTCTCCAGTCAAAAACTGTCAAGGGAAAAGTTTTATGTCAAAAGGAATTATACGTATACATGCACTCAACAATATATATTTAATCAGCTTTGACATACTACTTTCTTCCCTTCCACCTTGCCCCTGTTTACTGTGGTCTGTTACAATGTTAATATTGTAGTCATAAACAAAAATAACATTTGTGTTAGGCTTAACATCTCTTATCCAAGATGCACAAACAAGCAATCATGTAGCTTTACAATACGTTTCCTCTATTTTACTAGTGTCCGGTGAAGCCTTTCTGCCCTTCCAGAGCCTTGGACTTTGCAACTACATGATAAGTCAGCCACGACATGAGTAACATGCCCGGAGTTGCTTTGTTTCTATGCTTTAGCAGCAGCACACATTTTAAATTAAGGTTCATATTTTGGTGCAGTCTGGGAAATACAGCTTAGGCGTCTTGAGAACATGGGCCACAGATTTAGTCTATGGGACCAGATTAGAGTTGGCGTGAAGTGAAACAACCCTGAAATGTTTGTGGGAGGTCCACAGCACCAGTCACTTTACTCTAGAGATCTGTTCTCACAGGTTCATGCTACCTGATAATATAGACAGGCAAAGTATCAAGAAACCATGCTAGTAATTGATCCACCCTGTGTAGATACTTATTTCATTACAGAGTGCTCTTTCTTGCCCTCATTGTGACAATACTAAAAGATAATCTCATACTGAAAAAATCTTATGCTATAGAATACAGAAATGAAACTCCTTACATAGTTCACACGGAAGCTTGTTTTCATATTTCTGAAGAATCTTGCACAAACAAGCCTGGAACGTACCCATGTGCTGCAAAATTTTGTTGTCTTATTAGAGGGTGTAACAACCTGTTCCAATCATTTGTCTTTAACTTTATCCCAATTTTATATATCTTGAACTTGGTTAGAATTTGCATAAGCTACGACAAGTTGTGCTTTTGTAAGTCTCCAAGGCATGTGCAAGTGCTCCTTAAAAGCAAAAAGTATGTGGATAGTGATATAGTTAGCGGCTACTTTTATAAGAAAGTTAGGATAAGGATAACATACACCATCTTTGCAATTCATTGCAGTACCAGAATATTTGATCTGGGACAGTTAGGAGCATCTGATTGCTTCTTTTTCAAATCAGCCAGGTAACACAAGATGATCAAGCCAGCAAGCATGTTTGTTTAAAATTTGCCTAGATATCTTTCAAGTTCTGGACAGAGGTATAAAAAACAGCATGTAGAGTGCTGCCATGGCACTTCAGAGCAGGTACTGAGAACGATTCTCCTGTAGTTCAGTGGTATACCTTAGGGTGACCTAATCTGATTCCTTAATATGGAATGTAACTAAATTCATAACAGCTCATTCCTATCCTAATAAGCATCGTGCTTGCACACTGAACAGAGGTTATTGTAACAAGATAAATGGTAATAATTTGCCTCAGGGCTGCAGTTCTACACTATATGGATGTTTAACTGCAACAGGATAGCTAAGAGTCCAAGCAAGTGGGTTGCTATGCTTTCAGAAGCAAACGCATGCCAAATAGAGACACTGCAGTTTTAGTTACACTTATCCTTAATTGGAAATGAGAAAAAAAAAAGAAGAAAAATTATGTTTTAAAGCCTGTAATGTCTTCCATTAGTATAAGAAATCATGTTAGTTTATGCAATTATTTCTTAATGCCATCATATTTCTGAAAATTAGCTTTTTAAAAAAATTTTCTAAAGTACAACTGATTTCAGTATAAATGTATCCACTTAAGAAAGGCTGTAAGGTTGTTTTTTGTTTCAAAAAGGATGCAGATGGTTTAGCTTCAGGTTTTAAAAGACATTTTTATCTATCTGAGATTATATCCTTATTAAAAATTCTGTTTGTATATGATAGGAGCTATAAATTTCATCTCATGGCTGTGAATTAAGAAAACACATTTGTTCTGTTAAGTGAGGAAGTGAACAATTTATTTACTGGATTCTGTTAGTTTCAGGATTTTTTGATTTTTTTTTTTTTTAAAGCCTAAGTAGGTAGACATTTTCTGAGATTGAGGGAGTTGTCCAAATAATGAGGTGCAAGTTTTGATATGGCTCCATATTCCTCTTCTAGTACAAGAACCTGCAGGTCTGTGTCTTTGGCTTGGCTAGCCATACCCTTGTGAGAGGGTTGATATTCCATGGTCTCAATAAAGTGTTTAGCGCTGTAATAAATGTGAGCCTCTTGCTCATGTACTTTTTTTTTAGTAAACACCCTTCAAAGATTGATACTGGAACAGAGTCAGCATTCAAACAATAATTCTTCATCTGACTTCCAAAATGAAACATCACTACTCCAAAGTCACTTTCACATTTGAAGCACTGGGGGAGTTGCAAAAGGTCAGTCTGCGCTGTTACATTTTAAGGTTGTGATCTCTGAATGGCTTGTATTGACACAGGACACCACCTCTGTAATGAACTCTTACGTCTTCTTGAATGAGATCAAGACTTGAAGTAGCAAGACACTATCTGTTTCTGACAGTTCACAATATTTCCTCCACCCTACCCACCCACCTGCCTGCTTATGGCAGAAAAAGCTTCTTTCGCTTAAAATATCACATGTTTAGTTTTAAGTCAGAAGTAGTTTTTGGAAAGTTTGAGGTTAGTATGGGCATGATTGGGAGTAAACTACAGCTGTGTGCCATTCTTGCTTCTCCAGTCATGTATGTGTAGTAACTACAAGCACAATATTGTCATTACAGAATAGATAATTACTAGAACAATTAAACAGCTATAGAATAATATTATAATGAAGATTTTAATATAATAACCATTATAATTTAAATCTAATTATAATTTAAGTTTATAATAAATTATAGTTGTGTATGTATTATATGTATCATTTTATTACACACAAGAATAGAATAACAAATTTCATAGTTGAATAGTTAATTATGACCTAGGCTATACTATTGTTACTTGTTTACAGAGGTAGAGCAGCTTAATGAGACAACTGCAGACTCAAAATAAAAATCTTATTAAGAAAACAAGTTTTATTCACTCAGCTTCAAGGGAAGAAGTTACTTAAATGCAATAGCCTCTAGTTAATTGTCACTTTAAACTAATTAACACAAACACAACTATATTGATTAAGTTTCTGTACTTGGCATATTACCCTGAAAATTGTACTGTGCTCATTACAGCATTCTCCAAACCCCCTGTCTCACTGTACAGGTCAATATTCCATGCTATCAGGTACCACTTCTACTGAAATTGCCCTTTATTTTGTTATGGACAAAGTTTAGTTTTATGAGCAAAGTGCAGATATCTAGTGAAATTAATGAACCTTCATTCATAAAAACTGTTAGATTCCCAAATCATATTCCCTCTGTAAAAGGAAGTGTTTGGTTTCAGACATTACATATGAAGGTTCATTTACACCCAGCAGCTATTTTTTTCTTCCAATTTATTTTTTTATTTTCAGAGTTCCTCCTCTTGTTTTCAAAACAGTTCTGAAAGACTTGTCTGTCTCAGTTCTTTTGTACCTTGCAATGCTGATATATTTCATGAAACAATGAGGATTTTAGGGTACAGTGTTGACCACCACCACTAAAGTCCTTCATTTAGTACCAAAGAAACTGGTGAAAGTCTCTAGATTTTGATCTATATTTGAAAAAGTTTTGACATGAACAACACTTTCCATCTTTTAGCTTTAGATTGAAGGTTGGCTATTGGAAATACCACTGCTTTAATAATGAAGATGTACATCAACATGAGATAACAGCAGCTACAAATCACAGTACCCTTAGAAATAGAAACAGCTATGTTGTACTACATTGCTAGCAAATACTGTAACATTCCTTCTTGGCCCATAACTTCTTAAGTGCTCTGTGTTTTTTTTTTTTTTCCTAGGCACCCACTGGCCACCTTTTTCCACCTGTTTTTCCGAGTGAGTGCTATTATTACCTACTTGTTCTGTGACTGGTTCAGCAACAGCTTTGTTGCCTGTTTTGTCACTATTCTCCTCCTTCTATCATTTGACTTTTGGTCAGTTAAGGTAAGAAGACCCTGAATAGTATTTAAAGTATTTTGTGTGCCATTAAATAAAACAAAAAAGAAAATATGTATGCTGACAAAAGTGACAAAAATATTGTGATCTGTTGATTTATTAAATGTGTAGCCCATTTTATTTAAGACATTTACATATCTTAGTTACTGTTTATCACCATGTTCTCTATAGCTGATGGGAGCTACTGCTATGGTAGGAAAATTGCCCTATCACGGGTAGATTTGTTTGTAAGCTTTCCCCATTAAAATTAAAAAAAAAAAGAAAGAAAGAAAACAATACTGTCTCTCAGTAATGGACGCCCAAGGATGCCCAAAGCCGCAATGCCATGCCCAGAGCCAGCATGCAAGAGCTGCAGAAGGCTCCTGGGCAGAAGGCTCCAGCTGTGGCACTGGTGCCCCAGTCACGTGCAGACAGGGGGGTCAGGCCAGCCCAAATCCCCAGGGCTCCACATGTGGAACAAGGCTTTTGTTTTGTAGAAGTGAAGCATTGCATCATCTCCAGTATTCTGAAAACTTCTGATATTCATCCAGGTGCAGAAACATTTCCTGAATTTGTTTGCTTGATTCCAGGCAGCTTACTTGCTTATAATTAATCTTCCAATTTTTCAGTGTGTTATTGTTCATGGTTTTCCTCTCTTACTGAGGAAATTTGTTTACTGGGGGCTTCTCCAACTGACTGACTTAGAAAAGATACATACTATGATTTCTTACCTAAATCAATGCTATTGTGCTAATTATTATATTGGAAGAGAACAGGCCTCTAAATTTGTGGTAACTCATCCAACCTTAATGGCTGTTGTGCGCAAGCTGGCACCACTTTTAGAACTAATTTTAGTATTTGATAAAACAATATGATTTTTAGACATGCTTGTCTTTTTTTAATGTTAGTCTGAGAAATGAATTATGCTGCTGATTAATGCAAATAACTGTTTCTGTCGCTAGAACGTGACAGGAAGACTCTTGGTTGGTTTGCGTTGGTGGAACCAGATTGATGAAGATGGAAAAAGCCACTGGGTGTTTGAAGCAAAAAGGGTAAATATGTGAATAAAAGCAGGCACAGGACAAACACAATCCAGAGGAAAGGTTGTAAAGCTAAGTCAAATAAAGTAAGAAATAGAGTACCTTTTTAACAGTTACTTTTTATCCAGCTTCTGTAACAGATAATGTGAGTATTCAGTTGCAAACACACTGCATGGTCATATCTCAGAAGCATTCAGGACAAAATTGGCACTGTAAGACTGTCATCATATGCATCAGCAGAATAAATATTCATAGCATGGTACTATCAGTATGAAACATTTCTGGTAGTTCTATTTTATTTTCTAGTGAGAACACCTTGTAATAAACACATATTCCGACAGTTAATTCCCATGCAGAATCCTCAAGAAATATCTATGTTGAAAGCAATACTGAATAGTTAAAATTCAGTATTTTAAAATTATTTATTCATGCTTATGGAATATGGTGGGGAATAGGACCCAGATCACAGAGCATTCTGGCACTGCTAGTGCTCCTCCAAACACCCTGAGCCAGAACACTATAAACAGCACTCGGCATTACTGCCAGAGCCGGGACCACAGGTTTTGGCTTTCACTTTCTAATTTTCTCTCCACAGCCCTGTTTAGGCAGAGCCTGGCAGGGCCACCCTTCAAGTGCTACTGGCTAGTAGCTACTCCCTCTCAGGCCAGCACCCTGCACGCCACCGGGTGCTGTGCCCACCTCAGGCGCCCCAAGGAGCTGGCCTGGGGGGCAGAGTTTGACAATCTTCCTGTAATCCAAGGGGAACCTAAAGAGAGAATATGGGCAAGCCTGCAGGAAAGCAGAGAAGCTAGAACTTCAGAGTTTCTTAGCTCTGTCAAGCAAAGACAGTAAAAATGAGCTAAAGCCTTCCAAAATGGCCAGCAAATGGTAGCTTGATGAACGTGAAAATCATAGTACCACAAGAAGAAACATCTAATTAGAGTGTTTTGTCATGGCTTATCCATGAGAAATACTTTGTCATGGCAAGGTCCTGGAATACATGCAATTCTCTTACTTTCCCAAGTCAGGCATTCCACACCTCCTTTACCTGTCCTCTGGCAATGTTTTAAAATCTCTTGCTTTACGGGTACATTTGTTTAGAAATATTCCAAGTCACTCACCAACAATAAACAGCAAATTCCTGGTGTGCTGCTGATGCAACTGAGGTTTGCCATTAAAATTCTATCTTCTGCTGAGGTTTGCTCAAAGAGAAATAATTTTTACACTTACATTCCAAACTGTTTGGAATGACTGCAGCCTTTTGTAATCTTGCTCATCAATTAACTAGGTCTTTCAGGTGCAGAGTTCGCAGGTGTATTGACTTTTTTTTCTCCTAAATGGCACTCATGCAATCTCTCTGTTGGGTAATTTGTCAGTAATTTGTAAAACAGGTGATTAAACCTTTTTGTTGACCCAGAACATCTGTCTTCTGTAACTGTGAAGGCATAGAACATTATTCTCTGGAGCTCTGCAACATCACTGGTTTAGAGGGTACATGAAAAAATTAGACACCCTGTAATTCTTACATCTTTCAAGGTTTTCTTAGTCAAGATAGAATAACTTAACTGTATTTCCAAGTTGGATGCCACTGTCTGCCTCTGGATGGGTATTACTTTTACATGGAGAATTCAAGATATTGAAAAATGCACTAAAAGACTTTTCAGTTTTCCTTTCCAGTTGTGAAGCTTGTATTTCAGAAACCAGCACTAGTGGTGGTGAGTGGTCTGTGGTTTGCAGTTAGCTTTTGAATTCTGCTCTCCTAGGAAAGATAAGAACCTTCTGAACAACTCTCTTTAGTTTCTTTTAGGTGCTAGAAGTTGACAGCAAGCCTTTAAGTGTAGATACACGAGTTGTGCTGATCTGGTGCAATCTGCAACCAGGGCTTTATGCAGCCTGCTTTGAGGTGTTTTGCTCTCCCTGAAGGACATAAATAGAGTGCCATGAATAACAATGCTTCTATCAGAGAAATGCCAGCAGTTACTGCGACGTCCAACACTAGTATTACAGAAGAGGCATTTTTGAAGCCACAGTTCTTAATTTATGGAATATCAATGGACTTCATAAGCAAAATTGAAGTATTGGTTTACATAATAGAAAACTAGCTTCACACTATTTAAATTAAGCTAAGATACTGCAGGTTTTTTAGGAAAATGTATGGAAATGGGCACTGTTAAGAGAATCCTGTTGTCTGAACTGGAACTGATAAATCCTATGGGGGGGGGGTGTCTTTAAAGTTTGCTTGTTAGCACTTGCAGCAGCTCATTGTAATTTCCACATTAGATACTGTGGCTTTTCCGATGCTGGCCTGAATTTTTCCCCCATGCTTTTCACACGTCACAAATGTACACTACACAGTAGTGCACTCACACACAAGTTCTGCTTGTAACACTGTCTTCTGTTTCACACTTCTCTAAGGCCTTGGTAAAGTTTCAATCTAATGTCAAAGTTAACTTAGTATTTCTGAATTTTAAAAGCAACTGTCAGTGTAATAGAACTTTTGACTTTAATATATGACTGATCTGTAGTGTTAATGAGAGCTATCATTGACAAAAGGAATAATTATCTCATTTAAATGTGAACAGACCAGAACATTTTGAAATGAAAATGCTGTCATGTACAGTAGGGCAGCAGGCAGAAAACTTGGCATTAGCTACTTCTCTTCTTATTCAGTATTCTTTCTATGCATGTAATAAGTGAAATTTAGGTCAAGAAATAATTTTGTCCATTCTTCCTCCTCTGCTGATTTGTTATTTATTGGGCATTTTGTCTTTGTAACTAGTAGTTTCAATACTTTTCCTTCCAGGTGCCTACAATAGCTGCCTCAACTGAAGCTGAAGCTCGAATCTTTTGGCTTGGTCTCATTATCTGTCCAGTTATTTGGACAGTGTTTTTCTTTAGCACCTTGTTCTCCTTGAAGCTGAAATGGCTGGTGAGTCTGGGGGTACTGAAAGACCTGCAGCTGACAGTGTTGGCAGAGTGAAACCCCAGATCTGTTAGTTTTGCAACAGTCTTTGAGTCAAATCTTCCAATAGTACAAAAATTCCACCAACAGCTTCACGAAATCAGGAGGAGTTTCTGCAGTCAAGCCCTGCACTCTGGAACAGATTAGTGATTTTTAGCCCCACTTTTACTAGGTTATCGGATGTCAGCTCCTTTATCTAACTTGAGAACCTTAAGTAGTTGGCAAAATTATGGACTTCTTTCTAACTGTAGCAACTTAATTTTCCCCAGTTTATTTCGGTCAAAGGAAACTAATAGGACAGAAAATGAACCAGTGATGCTGGTTTTCAAGTTTTCACATCTCCTTGGTACTTGGATGTTACTTGCTTTTAAAAGTAAGGATTTTAGATCTCTGGTACCATTCCCTTTTGAAAGAACCAGTATCATAGTGCTTAAAACCTTGGTATATTGAGCTATAAGTATGTATTTTATATTTACTGTATTTATAAGCCATCTACTCTACAAAAAAAAAAAAATACACATTTTTCTAAATGCAAGAGGAAGCTTACCCCATATATTGCATTACATGAAGATATTTTTGTCTATGAAAGCTTCGTGTTTTCCCCTGTAAGCATGAAGTGCCATAGAATTCATGTTGTCAAGTTCCCAGCCATGCCAAGTACAACTTCTTAATTCAGTTTGAAAAGTTAAGAAGTGTCTTGGACACGTGCAGGTAACAGCCAAGATTACACTTTATTATTAAATGAAACAGGCAATTCAGCTATGGGCATGAATCAATTGCAAATCATTAACTGTTTTCTAGTGGCCAAAATGACATCACTGAACAAGCAATAGTTAAAATTAAACCAGCAGTCTTTCTCTAGGGCTCTACCTTTATTTTTGAAAACCAGAGATTGTTTGCTAAACTACGAGCTGGTTGGAGAAAGAACCCTAACTGGCACTGGGGGTAGGTTGCTCAGGTGCTTGGAAAAGGGAAGTTACATGAATGAAAAGAGGATAGTTTCCAGGGGACTGTTTCTGAGGCCAGGGAGCACATTTTTTGTAAGTTATTTCATTATGTTACTATGTTATGTCAGATGAGTTCTGCCTGCTGCTAAGCCACAAAAGGATCTAATTATTTTCGCTGCCTGTTAATGCTAGATACTGATTCATAGCTATCAATGTGCTTTGTAAAGCCTGTAAGCTACAGGATCTTATTTGTATACAATAAGGCATTTGTCAGCTAAACAAGCCTGCAGGTTTGCTATGTATCTGGATGTGAAAGTTGTAGATACAAATCAGGCTTAAAAATGAAACGATTAGGAATCTGTTGAATAGGTCCTTTTTGGAGTAAGTGCTTTTAGGAAAGTAATGAAGCCTTTCAAGATGCAGAATGACAAGAAAAAATTTGTGTCAGTGTTTGATAAAAAGAGAGGTATTTTGTAGAAGGGAACTATTGTGTTTTTGACAGAGTTGGAGCTCTTTGAAGGTTATTTATTACTGGAAGGAATATCCCCCTCTCATAGCACGTATGTATGTCTAAATAGTATGTACACATATATGTGCACATGTATATTCTACACATGCAGTCTATATCTATCAGTGCATTTGTCCCAGCTGAACTTCTGTCTGTCTGCAGGCTCTTGTGATAGCCGGGATCTCCCTTCAGACTGCTAATTTATATGGCTACATCCACTGCAAACTAGGGGGACCAAAAAGCATCAGCAGAGTAACTTCAAGGTTTTTTGTCACAGCAGAGGTTCCCAAGAGTAAGTACCCAGGTGGTCTGTCAGCTGCAGCCCATGAAGTACCACACACCTACCTGCCTGCGCCCTGGGGCTTAGCTCTTCCCAGGTCTTTGTTCCTGAAGTAGCTCCTGGCAGGGCCACCCTGGCCCTCCGGCGAGCCCCCCCTGCGGCAGGCCAGGCGCTCCGAGCCGCCGTCCCCGCCTCACTTGGCTCCCTGTCCGGAAGCCGGCTGAAGCATCACAACTGAGCTGCTTCCGAGCCCCGGGAAGAATGTCCTCCAGGTCAACCCCTCGAGGGGTGATTTCTGAGGCACAGCTGGGAGAGCAGCCTCCGGCCCTCAGGCTTCCACCCCGGGCTCTTCCCCGCTTTTTGGGAAAGATTCCTATGTACTAGGTTGTGCTAACAGCCGTGCTTCCTGTGCTCCTTCCACAGGAGAGGCAAGGAGAATTTCAGACAACCGCGCTGAAGAACGTGGGAAGACAGGCACTAGGTAATCAAATAAGGAAGAACAAAAAGGATGAGCAGTAAGAGTACTCATTTTTGAACGCCGGTCTTCATATGAAGGTGCTTAAGTAAAGCTCTTCTAGAATTACACCTGCAAGAATAAGGATTTTATGTTTTTGAGTCTTTAGATCCTTCATTACTTAAGTTTCATCAAAAAGTGGTTTGTATGGGCAGAAAAACAACGCTTATGATTTATACAGAACACGCTTCTTTATGAAAAAATCCTGTCAGCCAACCAGGTGGTGGATTATCTTAACCAAGAATTAGAATGTAATCTAAAGACAATGCTCATTTATTTACTTTTGGAATGACAATAAACAAAAATCAAACTGCCTCTCCCTCTTGTACACAATAGTGATTTTTCAAATCTTTGATTCCTCACTAAAAAGAGGAATTGCAATCACAAAGGGCCTCTTAGTTATTAAGATACCAAATGTTTATTTTTTTTAGTGTTTAGGCTTAGTGTTGAGTAGAAGAAACCAAAAGTAATTTACCATGTTCATGCAGTGCTTGCATGAATTAGCCAGTTATGTGTAAATAGTTAAAGTATGTCAATCTTATTCCAATACCTGTAATAAAAACTGTGCTTGTGCTATAATCAACTTGCCTAAATCTAGGGTTTTATTTTAAAACTGATGCCAATTCTAAAAAAAAAAGGAGACAATACTGCACAGAATTTCACTCCAAATAGAAATCTTTTCCACTGAAAGGAGATACTTAAATCACATAACTCAGCAAGAGAGAGAGTGGGCATGGCAGCTCACCCCAGCGCAGAAGGCAGGACAAAGCCCACTCCACGTGCACAGCAGGTACTGCTGCCCCACTGGCAGCAAAGCACGTTTTATATTTGACTTTCTAAATAAAATCTTGTGTACACGTATCTTCAAACACCGACTTCACAGTTCGGTTATTAGTACCATGACAGCGGATGTGGATTGCGCCCATGTAACACAGATGACGACTCAGTTTTTTAGCTTTCTAGCAAGCTTTGAGACCACACGTGAACTACAAGAATCTGGAGCTATGGAAAAGAAGTAAGGCAAGAACATTTATATTAAGAATTTATTTGCAATATACAAAAAGAATACATTCCTTCTATTAAATCAAGGCATAAGTTACTTTTCTATAATTAAACATGAACTACATTTTTATTCCATTTGTAGATTAGATAATCTTTTCTTCTTGAAAATGGTGTTGATCACAGTATTCCTGAATCCCTGCAAAGACGGGGAAAAATGAATATAAGTATTTTGGCTGTACATCAGGAGTTAGTAACTGCTGCCTCACTCTGTCCCCTAGTGGTACCAATATCACAAGCTGGGCCTTCATCCCAGTGCAAACACCCTTAGGAATTTCCCAGCTGTTTGGATGTTCAGACTGCCCACGGCCAGCTCTCTGGGCACTCTGCAGGGGGTTTTGTGCAATTACAATTAGGGGTGGAGGCAGGAATGCCAGCTGTGTCCTCCTCAGCAGTGGCAAGCACCCCCCTGCAGGCCGGCCTGAGAAGCTCAGAACGTTTCTGTGAGAGTCAGTACACACACGTCTTCTCTGAGAATTCATGATTAAGTCAGACAGTGAAACCAGTTATTAAATAGAATTTCATTATCACTTTAAAAGCCTGTCATAACTGATGCACAGAAGTGAACATAGGATTTGCATCTGTTACTTTCATAATTGCTCTGCACAGCTACTGTTCTTACTATCTGTGGCAGAAAAACATAATTCTGTTTAGAACCGTTATATTTTGTAGAAGTGCTCAGAGCCGAGAGGATTCATTTGTGCAGTAATTTTCAGACTTACTTTGAATGATATTCCTGTAAGATGATGTAGCTGGAGACTCAGGTGTTTCAGACAAGAAAGACTGGCCTTTGTCACAGCTTTTTCCTTGAAGGGCAGGGCAAAACGTGAAAGCAAAGCAATGGGAGAAGATGAACTTTATTTTACCCTTTATCCTGCTACCAGTTACACCCTTCTGAAGAGTCACTTGTATCTCTTCCTTTTAAGAAGTCCTTACGCCAGTAACGTAACTAGGACTACACCTTACAGTTTTCCAAAGGAATACTTTTAGCAGAAGCTTTCAATAACTATTTTGGCAATACCGACCTGATCCTTGATGTCATTAAATCAAGCACTAACTGGTAACAGCTTGTGGTCACAGAAGCAAGCCTTCTCACTAGCCACAGCCGCATCTGGGGGGTGCCAGTAACAGTGAAGTTACAGCACTAGTTTTAATGCTTGGCATCTACAAGATACTACTCTTCGTAGTGGTTATGATTTTATTCAGTCTGCGCTTCCAGGTGATGAGACCAAGGAGAAAGACATGTTGTACTTCAAATATGACTATACAGCTGAGAAGGTACATTATCTACTCTTAATCAAGATTAAGTTTCAAGCTAAGGAAATTATCTGAGCACCTTCCTTTTTTCACACCATGCTATGCACAGTCCCAGTAACTTTTGACTCCAAAAAATGTTCTATCTTTATTTATCTAAGTGACAAAATGTTTAATATTCTAATTTATCAGTGTCCAAGTCACAGTTCTGCAGTAATGATATCAGTATAGGAGGAAAAACTCGTTTTAAATATAGTATAATACAGCAACTTTACCTATTTGAGGGTCTAGAGGCACTTTACCCAGGAAGGAAACATTTAAGTTCTGGCACATCTTCTCTGCGCCTCCAGTAGTCGGTGGGAAGATCTGAGATTCATTCTGGGACAACAGGAACGCAGAGTTACAACACTGCAGTTCTGAGACCAAGGTATTTTTGGAGCAATGTTTGATATACAATGTCAAGATAAAACCTGCTGTAATACAGAGATGGCCTTACCTTACACTTCGGACATACAAAGCCACTCATATTTTCCACAACACCTATGATGGGCAGTTTCACTTTATGGCAGAAGTTGATCTCCTTCCGAACATCCTGAAGCGACATTTCCTACAAATATTAGGAAACCCTGCTGGTTTGATTGTAATGTTTTGATGAACCCACTAAGTTACATCCTTTGAGCTATTTTAAAGAAAGTTCATAATGAATTATGACTGCTCTTTTCATATTCTGAGGAACATAAACCTGTGCTTTGTGCTCTAGCAACAGAACTGGTACAACAGTCCCAGCCTACTGGCTGTGGTTCTGCTCTGAAATCCGATTTGACTCAAGTTTCTGTCATATTTATGTTTCATCTCCTATATTAATCTCATTTCTTTAAATGCAACTTTTTAATATTTTCAGTTTACAGAAAGACTCCTGGTATTTGCAATAGAGCAGGCAAGGACAAGAACCACCAGGCTTACGCTTGTTACCTCTTTTCAAATTAAATGTGAAATAGTTTATCATCCCCTCAGACTTTTCGTGTATATGCCTGACCTCATTCAGCTCTCCTGTTCTCTTCTCCTTCTCTCACCACCTGTCCGACATCGCCCTCACCCCTTCACTTCTGTTACATTTCATTCTTTCAGCTGTTGCAGGAATACTATGTGTCTTTCACTAGTTTGATTTCCTGTTCCTTACCAAACCAGGCATTAAAACCTACATTTGAATTTGATGTATTGCGAGTTTCAGCTCTCCAGGGGCTGATTTTTCTTTTAAAAAGGCACCTCACAAAGCTGCCTACTGGAGGCAACAGGCTACTTCATGTAGTGTCAAACAGTGCACATCTTATCACTTAAAAACTAAACTTCTTACTGACTTCTGAGCATTAAGCCACTCGTGAGCAAATCACAGATTTGCAATGATGTGAACTCTAATCTCGAAGAAGTGAAATACTGCACATCACTTCACCACACAGATCATGACAGCTTTTGATTGTGAACTGCTCAGTGGGTTACAGTGACCCACTCCGATCCCATCCTCCATGGAGACACCCCCCTGACTCAGAAACCAGCCAGCAGCAGGCACAAAGCCAGAAAGTCAACTCCTGATTCTGTACCACCGTTTCTCTGGTTAAACAGAGACTCTAAACCAAGGATCGGCTTTAACTGCCACGATGCTCCTATTAATGGAAATCAAGTTCTGGCACCTGAGGGGTGGTGATTATAACAGCACCATCGATGTGCGCTGCACTGAGGTACTGCACAACAGATAAGTGTTCATCTGAGGTTCCCGGAGGCGTATCGACAATCAGGTAGTCGACTTCACCCCAGTCCACGTCACGAAGAAATTGTTTGATCAGCCCTAAAAGAAAGAATAAGAATGTAGAAGGGAGGCAAAACTATCTCCCTATATTTCAAATTTTAGGGTCTATTTCAACTTTTATAGTCTAGGTATGCAGATTCTTCTGACTTGTCAACTTCAGTACAGAAATGCTTATTTTGCCAAGGCCTCAAAAAAACACCACCAAAATCCCCAGGATTTGACATTTTAATGTCATCAAATCGGTATGCTCAACTAAAGAAATTAAGTAACCATCCACTCATTTTTTCTATAGCTTACCATACCATATTTATGTTATTAATTAAGCAAGCTCATGACATTGAATCTTTCACGTACATAAATTATGGTTGAAAACACTTCATATGTACCATTTTTTTTTGGTCCTCTCCAGATGACAGCATCATCAGGACTACTGAGCAAGAACCCCACTGACATGACACCTAAGTTTTCTTCAACATACTAAAAGAAAAGTAGAGAAACTCAGTAAAGTATACAGATCAGTAAAGAAAGAGTAGAGAAACCAACTCTAAACCCAGATTTTATAGAAAAAACAGGTTTGACAGGGGGAAGACATTAAGAAAACAAAGGCAGAGAACCTTATGTGGCTCTTTTATCGAAAGGCATTAAAAGCTAACTTTTGTGCTATGCTCACCAACTACATTCACAGAGGGAAAAAATTCCAGTTGTAGCAAGATTTACAGTGGCTTATGAAATCACTGGAGGCAGCGTAAGGCTAAAAGCAGCTTTCCCTCTCAGCATCAGGCTGCCTCCTTAACAGCATACACACCGACGGTGATCTTTAGACAGCCAACACTCCTACAAAACCCTCCCTGCAATTTCTAAAGATTAATGAGGTTTTTCTTTGGTGTAAGATACTTTTTGTCTGTCATTGAAAAGGTGACATAATACACAGCTGCATGATAACAAAAAACAATGAAATTAGTAACTTCTGTTTATTGCCCATAGTATAGTAGGAAAGACATTAAACAAGAGATAGTTAATAAAACTATTTTAGAAATACAGTATTATTACAGCTAACAAATTTAACACTTTGATCTATATAGCCTATTCTATAGAATCTGGATATTTATACCATTAGAAAAAGCTCCTCCCTCACTCGTTTTTCACCTTAGAAGATGGTGCCCGACCCAAACAAACCCAAAAAACTTTCTGAAACAGTTGCACCCACTTACCACTGGAGACCATCCAGATCCACTCTGATGAACCTGAAAATTGAAGTGACACATAAAGTTATATTAGAAATAAATACAGATGTTACATAAAACATAAATTTAAGTCAAAACTGGGTAAATCGATACCCTGTCTATAGGTACAATACTGCTTTATTGGAGTAGCTGTGTTACAAACTGCAGAAGGGCCAGATCTCCATTAATAAGTGAATAGTAACTGTTCTACCCTTTTGCAAGAAATTCACCCATGACGTATTT